AAACCATTTCAGGTGACTACCTCTTGAAGCTCATGGAGAGAATGCCAAGAGTGTGCAAAGCAGTAATCAGAGCAAAGGGTGGCTATTTTGAAGAAACTAGAATATAAAACATGTTTTCAGTTATTTCACCTTTTTTTGTTAAGTACATAACTCCACATGTGTTCATTCATAGTTTTGATGCCTTCAGTGAGAATCTACAATGTAAATAGTCATGAAAATAAAGAAAACGCATTGAATGAGAAGGTGTGTCCAAACTTTTGGCCTGTACTGTATATGTATGTATATGTATATATATATATATATTTATATGTATATATGTATAGGGCCAGGAGAATCATTAAGGATAATGATTCTTTTCCTTCTTTTCCTGCCGAGGTCAGGAGGGTTGTACCGTATATACAAGGTACAGTCCTCCTGACGGGGGCGGCACGGTGGTGTGGTGGTTGGCACTGGTTAGCACTGTCGCCTCACAGCAAGAGGGTTGCCGGTTCGATCCCAGGTGTGGGAGCCCTTCTGTTCTCCCCGTGTCAGCGTGGGTTCTCTCCGGGCACTCCGGCTTCCTCCCACAGTCCAAAGACATACAGATTGGGGACTAGGTTAATTGATAACTCTAAATTGTCCGTAGGTGTGAATGTGAGCGTGAATGGTTGTTTGTCTCTATGTGTCAGCCCTGTGATAGTCTGGCGACCTGTCCAGGGTGTACCCTGCCTCTCGCCCGATGTCAGCTGGGATAGGCTCCAGCCCCCCCGCGACCCTCAAGAGGATGAAGCGGTTAGAAGATGAATGAATGAATGAGGTCAGGAGGACTGGAGAACTGTAATGTACAGAGAAGCTTACAAAGAGGTTTTTTTTTTTTAAACGTCTTTTTCAAGAATCAGTGTGTCCCTATTATAGTCTGTCAGCAGTTTTAAAGGGATTAGTTGTTCTGTAGAAAGTAGCTCTTGACTCTGGAAAAACACAGAGCTTCTGATGTTTTTTTTAATCTATCAGTCTGAATTCCATTCATCTCTGTTGTAACTTTGAGGTGCATACCAAAATTGATTTACCAGACAGTGGGTGAATGGACCCTTTCAGGGCTTTCAGTTCAGATTTGTGTGTTCAGACTGGAACTCACGTCAGACCCTTGAATCCTCTCCTGCAGCTGCAGAGGAAGGCGTTGCCGATGGGCTTACATGTGCCACCATTCTGACACGGGTTGGGAACACACGCTGTTATTTCCATCTCACAGCGACCTCCGGTGTACTGGGGGTTACAGCTGCATGAGTACCCTAGGAGACAGACGGTAGGGGGGGGGGGGGGGGACACACACACACACACACACACACTTCATTAGAATTCAGAGCAGTCAGTGTAGTGTTTACAGCACTGCCTGGCCAAACACACAGACCTCTGGGAAATCACATGAGTACACCCACACAGCATAATGAAGATACACACACACACACACACACACACACACGTATGCTCAAAAAGAGAATGGCTCTGACACACAGCAATAAATCCCAAATACACACGAGAAAACTCTGGGGAATTAGCATTTTCTATTGTGTGAACATAATAAATCAGAGATACACACACTAACCTTTCCACGGTGCTGTGTAAATGACAACAGTGGGCTGCAACAATTCCCAGGATGCTTTGCTCATTACAGTGTAAATGAGGAACATGTGGCATGTGGGAGGTCTTACAGCAGTGTTCAGTGGCTCCTGCTGGTGCTGTAGCCTTGCAAAAAAAAACCCCACACCACTTCTGTGTGCTGACACTGTAGCTGCTACACTCACTTTACTAACACTCTGGCCTCTAGTTTCGCAGACCAGGCGAGGCGGGGGCGCAGCGCACCTGCGCTTCGCCAACTGGGTGTGGCCAGGCGGATTTTGCAAGTTTGGCACACCGTACGCCCTGGCGCAGCTACTCCCCTTTCCCACCTCCGTCCCTCCTACCTGGGCAAGTCGGAAAGAGGGAGGAGAGAAGGCGTGGAGTGGGTTTTACACACATCACACCAATCAAATGAGCCCCTCTCCTCGCCCTTAAATGCACCGCGTGAAGGCGTAATGAGAGTTTACTCAATTCGCCATGGCAGAAGAGAGCAACAGCATCAAACGGCCAATCTCCTCCCAGGAGGAAACTGATGTTTTGGTCCGGGAGGTCCAAGCTCACAGTGTCCGAATATACGGAACTGCGAGCAGACCTCCACGGGCTGATGATGCAAAGGTAGCCTGGGAGGAGGTCACTACAATTGTAAATCAATATTGCGTTTCTCTCATGTACGTGCGCTCTCTCTTTCTCTCTCGCAGTCTCACTCTGTTTCTTTTCTTTTGACTTTTCTAAGATGACAGATGCTGAATATATACTCCCTATCTGATGCTGTGGCTGTTTGTGGTTGGCTGAGAGGGATGTGAACTCATTAGTTTGCAGCTGTGTTAATCAAATCAGGTTGGGTTTCCATTACGCGTGCCAAACGGTGCCAATCCCCTTTGATCTGACATCAGATGTGACGGGACAGTCAATATAGAGATACATTTATGTGCTGATTGCAGATAGTGGCATTGAATAGTGGTTTTTGTGGCTATTTATTGCATCGCTAATGATATTGTGGAAACCTGCCTGTGAGGTTTTGGTGACGTCGGCTTACACCGGCTGCGCTCTGCCTGCACTGACAGTAGACCTGGTTTCAGCTGGCGAGCTTTTAGCGCACCTTTGGTGAAGCCTTTTGGCACGAAACTGTCACTGCGTCAAGCTGGATCTGTCGACACCTCCCCCTGCTGCGCCGCCTCACCCATCTCAGCTCACCTCGGTCTGCCAAACTACCAAACTGAGCGCGTCTCGGGTTGCGCTGCTCGAAACTAGCTTAGCGCGGGGTTCGCCACCCTGCGCCACCCTGCGCCGCGCCAGGAAACTAGAGCCCAATGTGGGGTTTTCAACCGTCACAACAGATCAAGACTCTTCCTCGATGACCCGATCTTCTGTGGTGGAGGACTGAGTTAGCAACTTGTGATTGTTGGTGACAGATGAGTCTGGATTTGTCAGATCTTGAAACTGGGTTGAAATTAATCTGGAGCTGTCGTCAGAACAGCTGGGCCTCAAAGTCCCCACACCATATTCTTTAATATTTCTTATAGTCAACAAATCCCATAAAAAGACCCAAATTAACAATGAATGTACCTGCTAACAAACATTTTGTGTGTATAGAAGCTTGATGTATCTTATTCCTTTGTGCCATGGAGCTTCACTATTGTCCAAAAAAACTGTTCAAGCGGCAACCTCAGCAGCTGAAAAATGAGGCTAATGTGGAAGTGCAAAAAAAATGAAGTTCCTCTAATTACCAATTGAGGCTAGCTCCAGAGGCCAGTCAATCCCCACAGACCCCCATGTTAAAATGCCCAACTTCACATATGATTTCATTTGATTCAGCTATATTGCAGAGCTACAACGTCTCTGTTACATGTAACACACGTACTGCACCGATGGCAACGCCTTCACATGGTCTGGATTTTCCCGCCCATTTCTATTACAAAACGAAAGACAAATGTCCCCAGACTCCAATTCCGAAGTAAGAGAGGCTGGTCACGCGAGACTACTGAGGAGCTTGCTTGGGTGAAAGCCGCTTCGGTGAACTCAAGTAAAGCCGAGTAATGGCGCATTTTAGTGTGAGTAACGGTAATGGCGTTATAACGGGGGAGACAGTAACTTTTTTGTTGTTGTACTCGTTACTGTTTACCGTTTATTTATAATGCCATTATTTCCATCACTGCATACACACCATCATGCCGCCCAAAATACCCACCAGAGCACCAAATGTGGATTAATCCACTGCTGAAAATAGTCCCCAACAAAATGCACTATTTCCTTTTGTTTGGTTGGTGATTTGTTAAAACCTACAGTGACCAGCTGTTTTTGGAAATTACTGGACCATTTTTCAAAAAATGAGGCAATACATTTGTGAGCCGTTTGGACATTTACGTCTTTAGAAGAAAGCAGTGGATTTTGGACTGAGAGACACAGACAGAGTAGGGAAGACAGAACGTAGTGAGAAACATGATGTGGTACAGATGAAATGACTCTAAATGCATCCATTAATTAATTGTCCTGCACCACTTTCAAACAAATATATTTTATTGTTATGGTTGTCAGAAGTGAAGAATATATAGACCAAATTCAATTAAATACATACATTTAAAAAATATATAAAATCTTAAAAATGAACTAATCCAGCATGTGTTTAGCATGCTTTGAGAAAACAGCGTCTTAAAGTTGAGGGCTCTGTGCATGTAATTCAGAGCACATCTATGACTGAGTCTGTGCTGGGATTGTCTACACACAGCTGTCAACATGAAGGTGGCTGAGCTGGCAACTAGCAGCTAATGGTGGTAAATCAGTACATAGAGCTAAACAATGGCAACAGTGCTCACAGAGCTAATGGTTCTAAGCATAGGGAAACCATAGGGTGGGTGCTCCACTTCCACAATGACGTTATCCTGCCAATGTGGGTCAGTACGGTGTTATCAGCAATAGGCACTGTATGAGCACAGTGCAGAGCGATGGCGATTACCTAGCTAGTGGGACACACACACACACACACACACACACACACACACACACAGGAACTAACATGCACTAACAGACTGGCTTATCACATCAAAGAACAGAGACGCTCAGACTACAATACACACAGAGGGAGCATGACTTCATTTTGTGCTCAGGACACCATCACCCCACTATATCTTTACATAGTCAATAGTGGTTTGTTGCTATATTAATGCTCTGAATGTTGCATACAGAAGCTTTAAGTTTTGGTAGAGATTTGTCATTTAAACTCTGTCAAAACAAATATAATCCATACTGAGTAGCCAGAAAAACAGAAACACCTTCATGATGCAATGCTATCTAATAGCCCTCTATTCATTCATTTGATCATTTTCGATGACCACATATCCTGTTAGGGGTCGCGGGCGGGCTGGAGCCTATCCCAGTTTACATTGGGCGAGAGGTGGGGTACCCCCCTGGATAGGTCGCCAGACTATCACAGGGCTGACACATAGAGACAGACAACCTTTCACGCTCACATTCACACCAATGGTAAATTTAGAGTAACCAGTTAACCTAATCTGCATGTCTTTGGACTGTGGGAGGAAGCCAGAGCACCTAGAGAAATCCCAAGCTGACACAGGGAGAATATGCAAACTCCACACAGAAGGGCTCCCCTAACCCGGCAGTCCAAACCAGGAACCCTCTAGCTGTGAGGTTACAATAGTAACCACTGCACCACTGTGCTGCCTCTAATAGTCTAATAAATAGTCTTTTTGTGTTTTTAAATATTTAGTCCATCTTATTGACACACTGTGTACAGAGGAGCAAAACTATTAAAACACCTGCAGTTAAAATATAGTCTAAGACAAAACTACCTCTACGTGCAACCTCACAAAGAGTTAAATCAACACATCTTGATGCAGAGTCAACATCAAGTTCTTGTATCAGATTTTATTATAATATACAATAGTTTCTATGTTCTGGTGTTCACTCAATATACATTAATCATAGTATGACAGTACACACAATATAAACTGCAGATATATCAAATTATTTAATCACTTAATTAGAACTGTATATGAGAAAATTTCATGAACAAAAGGTTCATTATTTATGTCCCAAAGGATTATTTTACTTATTAAATGGAAGATTTTAAAACAAAACAAAAACCCCAGAAAAAAAACACAACTGCATATCAGTTCTCCCCTTTTTTAAGCCTTCAAGAGTTTAATCGGTGATTTAATGTGAGGTTTGGCAGGTTTAATTTCATAGTTCATATATGTTTTAGATAAGAGGGGCACCTCATCTTTAGATTAAAGTAGCTGTATGAGACATTCAGAGTACATCTAAGATCCAGAGTCTGGGGCCAGGCTAGCAGCAACATTGCTAACAGAGCTAACATTGTTACCTGGGGGAACAAGAGGGTGGGTGCTACGCTTCTGAATCGATGCCGTCCCATTGTGGCAACTGCAGTATGAGTGCAGTATGAGCGCAGTGCAGAGCGGCAGTGAGTGGGACACATTCACAGAGACTCAAATATACTATGTGTGGCCGAACCGGCTTACCACAACAGAAGAAGAAGAAGCTCAGATTCCAATACACACACAGGGAGAACCTTTAACTAATGCTCAGCTGCAGTAAAAATATTTTCAAACTATTCAACAAAATTTTTAAAGTAAAGAAAACATTTAAAAAACACTTCTAATACAGTTAACACATTAGTAATTAATCACTTTCTCAAAACCTTGAGTGTTAAGTAGCTGTACTGTATTTTCTGTTACTCACCACCAGAGGGAAGACTGTTGCAGGTGGCTCCATTGCGGCAGGGCTGCTGCAGGCAGGCGTCAGGATAAAGGATGCAGCCCAGCTTCAGCTCTGTCAGTCCCACCACCTCTGCATAGCGAGAGCGTTTGTTCTGCAGCGGCAGCTCGTTGTTGTTCAGCATGACTGAGTCCAGGCAGCCCTGGAAACCCTCAAGCACCTGCGGGTCCTTCTGGGAGTCCATGAGGCTGCGAGAGTTTGGTTGCTGCACCTGAAGAGAGGAGAGGCACAAATTCATGCATGGATTTATAAAGATACACTAAAGATGTGATGACTAGTCAAAATGTACTCACGCTGTTTTTCACAAGAGCAGAAGAAATGAACCAAGCACACACACACACACACACACACACACACACACACACACACACACAAGGCCAACTGAAAAAATGGATGCTACCCACTCTTAGTATGTAGTGGAGTGTAACTCCGTTTGTAGACGCCATTACAGCTGAATGATACACCCTTCATTAAGGCGTAGGGTACAAATACAGCAGCAAGCTTTGCAACAGACTTCCTTTTCTGTGGCTGACAGAGGAACTTTTTTTAACCATGGAGAAAATTAAAGCTTAATCCCATTTTATGTTCTTTATGTATATTTGCTATATGTGTATAGTACTTAATTTGATCTGTTTGTTCTGCTATTTACCTGCATTTTTGTTTATAATGCTTTTGTAATTAGAATAAATAGTAAATAAATAAATAAATAAATAGGACAAAAAATGTACTCTTAAGATTCTTTAGAAGCATTCCTTCTTTTTCCGGTAATATCTTCAATTTTTATTTTTTATTTTTTTTACTGTGATGAATTTAAGTTACTTGTTCTTTTGCAACTGTCCCTGTATATATACATTACTTTACAATCAAATGAACAAGACTTTTAGAGACTAGAAAAGTTTTTTTTTTATCCAAAATACAATGAAACTTTTTAGATGTTATAATTTGTATGACAATAAAAATGTCTATGTCTTACAGAGCTTCTTCCATGAAGAACACAATACAACATTGCACATTGTCAGTAAGATGGCATCAACACAGACTCACTGTTGGAGGGTTTATAAGCAATTCCCCTCCTTGCTGGTTGGCTTGGGGTGACACTTAAAGGGATAGTGCACCCACAATGTGTAATTCATATTTTATTCTAAATATGCAGAACTAATAACCTGAGAATTATAAAGATCTGTATGTTCTTGTAGGAGTTTGAAGATGGAAATGTGCATTAAACATGGCTGGAGTCTATTGTTCGATTAGAAGAAGTTACATAATAAACCTGACTCTTTTTTGTCACAGTTTTGGTCATCATTCCCATTGACATTACAACCACAGACCAGTTCCACAGCTTAACTACATTCTAATGTACAAACTTCTTATTTGGGAAGTGAAAACAAGATGAGTGTCCAGTACAATGCAGTGAACTAATAGAACAGGTTTGACTTTGTGCTTTTGAATAACAGTTAAAATAACAGAAAAATGGGTTTAACTGTGCAGGGCTGTCATTCTTCTTTCTTTTTTTTTAATTAAGATTATTTTTTGGGAATCTTTGACTTATGGATTGTACAGCTGTAGATTGAAAGGAAAGGTGGGAGAGAGAGGAGGGATGACATGCAGGAAAGGGCCGCGGGCCGCTACAAAGAACTCAGTCTATGTCAGGTGCACGATGTACCAGGTGAGGTATAGATTGTCCTGCAGGGCTGTAGTTTAAGAATAACTTAGGTTGTGGGTCAGCCGACACCAAACCAAAGTGAGGATCTTTAGTGTTATTGTATTATTATCAACATTATTATCATGAATACTACCATGAATTACCATATCTGATGGCAAGGCTTTTTCACAGTTTCTTTATTCTGTTAACTGTTGAGTTATACTTTAAAGTTTTATTTTCTAACATAAAGGTCTAAATGCTGTTTCAAATGTTTCAGTTCACACTGTCAAGGAGGAAATGCTGGCAGAGACACTTTTCTTCATCCTTTTGCATAAAAGTACTCAGGTGTCACCACAAAAAAACTGCTCTCTAACTACTGATTGTCACTACTGATCTTTAAATACTAGAGCAGAGCTGAAGGGGCTTTAATGCAACAGCGTAGGCATTAGGGCTGGGTTAAAAACAAATCATCCGACTCACATCGATCTTCATTTGAATGACCAAATACTGATTCATAAAATCGGAGATCGATCTTTTACTATATGCTTTTTCCCACTGACGTGTAAAGCTTTAACCCCGTTAATCCCGCCAGTACTAAAAGGGCCCTGGTGCTAAATTACTAACAACCATTGTTGCTCTGACATTACCAGTTCTTTTACCTGTAACAGTTAGCTTACTGTCTGTGTGTAATTTATTATCATGCTGCAGCAGCCTCTCCTGCTGTCTGTGCATCAGGGCTACTATGCCCCTTTTATGTACACATACAGACCCACTAACATGGAGTAGAGATGCTGCGGTAAAGACAGAGAAGTAAAGATACCTTGAGTGAGTGCAAAAAAACCTTCATGAAGAAAAGTCAATACTTTACCAATACACCTGTTCAGCAACACTGAACACTGAAAAGTGATATTTCATTTTGCTCTGTCTGTAGTCTCTCACCCACCGCTGCTAATATTATGTTACAAACAAGCACAGAGCGCTTTCCAGCTAATAGGAAATTGGAACTAACAAGCTGAAACAACAACTGTTTATGTCTAATGGTTTACCTCAGTTTGCATGTATCCTTACACTTACCAGCAGTTATGTGATATGCAGGCAGTGGCTATTAGCAGCAGAGGGAGGAGCAGAGAAAACAGGAGGACTGATACTGACTGATGTCTTTGTTTTTTATTTTTTCTAAACTTCACTCTGTATTGTGATGTCAGGAATATAATTTATTGTAATGACATTTTAAATTTGTTTCCAGTAAGTAAGTTTTGTATTGTGACTTTGCTGTTTTAATATTACTGTTGCTGCTCTAGAAACAACATTTATTCAACATACAACAAATATTCAGTTTTAATCCTGTTCTGAATTTATTCTTTTTTTTTTAATAATCCTTGAAAATTTTACAGTATTAGTTCTCTCAAAATCTCTTTCAAATTCTAGCAAAAATTGGTATTGTACTTTAAATATCCCAATTAAATCGATATCTAATCATTGTATGACTCACTGCTGCTTGCTAAGCTTTTTGCTCTGAGCACATGGTAACAACTGAAGGCGACTCAGGTCAATGTATCAACATTTTCATCAAATCAGATCCTCTCTCTTCTGGACTAAATACTGGGACTATACAGTTGTAGAACAATGCTCAGATAGATTTTAGTAAGAAAATCAGCCTGATGCTGTGAAAGTGAGGGGACAGAAATAGGATTTTGAGGGGGAAAACACTGGGCATGTCTATTCTAAATTATGCTCTTGCTTTTTTATATCTGTGCCAAAGGCCCACTGTCTCCTAATCCCTCCATACAGAAAACAGGTTGTGCACACAAGTGGACGTGACAATGGGCAAAATAAACCTGTATGTAGGGTGAGCAGTGTAATAATTCACAGACTTTGATCACACACCAAAATAATAGGCACAACAGAAAAACTACATTCTAGCATTTCACAGTTTACGGGATAGCAAGTTCTGCCAGTTGGAAGGAGTGCTACAGTAATTAGGTGAAGTTAAAACATCACTAGATGATCTAAAGCTGAGGAGCCCTAACATGGCTGCCATCCTGTTACCTGAAACCCCTCAATACTGTACAACTTCTCATGAACTGACCAGTGCTCCAAAGTAGATGGTTCTGTCTGGAGCCATTGGTTGTATGAATGGTGGTCCGCGGCGTCGCTCAACGTAACTGTCATCCAGCGCCAGGCTGCTGAAGTTGCGATTGAGCTCCAGTGCCACCGTGTGCCAGCTGCCATCATTGATACGACGGCCAGAGATGCCCAACATGTCGGGAC